ATTTTTTATTGTTTCTGAACTTTTTCAAAAAATAAAACAATATTGTTATTGTTATTATCATTATGTTCACATGTAAGGATATATTTTTACACAACATCTAATTTTTCCGAAATTTATAAGTAATTATTTTAGGGAGAATTCTCAAAATAGTGATTAAGTGTACACAGAGTACCCCTCCCTCCCTCCCTTCCGATATTACGAGGATTGAGATTTGTGTTATTTAATTGTACAGCTAATATGTTTTTCAGATGGGGCACTGGCAACAATCTGCAAAATGTCTCCGGAAAAAACAACCACCGAGTCCCCTGCGAATCAGAAACTCAATCGTGATATCGTATTAAAAGATATTGTTGATTCGGAAAGAGTCAACGTCGCTGAACTACAGGGCTTGATAAACAACTTCTTAATTCCATTAGAACCTGCTAACATGTGAGAGTCTATCTAGCGTATAATATTTTTTATGCATTGAGCTTAACAGTTTACGATATTTTGTCTAGACTAAGCATAGAGGAATACAAACAGCTTCTTGGTAATGTGCATGAAGTTTTGGAATCGCACCAACGATTGCTTACCAGTTTAGAAGCAGCCATGACACAAGGAAGTTCATTGAGACTTGGCAATCTTTTCCTAACTCTCGCGCCGAGACTGAAATCTATTCATACTGCATATTGCGCTAATCATCCACGGGCAGTATGTATATTAGATCGCTACAGGTACGTACTACAGATCAGTTATTACTGTATGTACAATTATCATCTATAATCTGTACAATAGAAATATTGTATATGTTGTTCTCAAAAATAATACTCTGGCATTTTAGAGACGAGCTGAACGAATTTATGGAACGTAGCGGTGCAATATCACCCGGGATTTTAGTATTAACGACCGGTCTAAGTAAACCTTTTCGTAGACTGGACAAATATTCTGCCATGCTCCAAGAACTAGAAAGGTATATGGAAAAGAATCATCCGGACAGAGGGGATACCCAGCGTAGTATATCCGTATACAGAGAATTAGCGGTATGTTTATTTAACTGTTCGATATTTGCATGAAATTGAATTTTTCAATTATTATATTTACAGTGTACGTATCGCTTTTTGCGTTTTGTAATTTGTTGTGTAGGACAAGTGTGCGTCTATTCGAAAACAACGTGAACTGGCGCTTCAAATATTAACTAGCGGTATCAAAGGATGGGAGGGAGAGGAATTGAACTCGCTCGGGGAAATACTTTATGTCGGATCTGTAACATTAGGAAGCGGAACAACCGGATTAGATCGTCGAGATAGATACTTTGTGCTTTTTTCTACGACTCTATTGGTACTCAGTACCAGCCCGAGAATGAGTTCTTTTGTTTATGAGGTATATAATATGAAAGTTTGTTTGCGTCGTATCTTGCTGCTGTCACTTTGGTCAAACAAACGCAGCACGCCTAAGGAATTTTGAATTACATGTGCTCCCATTTTATAGGGAAAGCTTCCACTGACTGGAATTAATATTATACCGACAGAAGACAATGACGACATTAGAAATGCATTTGAAATTACAGGTAAGATAATAGTGACTGTCTAGATAGAACAGAATTTAAGTGTACATTTACGAAGGAAGTCGCAGAGCTGAATTTCCCTGTCTCGAGTGTTGCTTTAGGACCTATGATCGAAAGTATTCTCGTGCTGTGTGCCACCAAAGAGGAACAACAACGGTGGATCGAACTTTTAATTCAAGAACAAACAAACAGCAGCCTTGTGAAATCTTCGACAACGTCACGCGTGAGTTGTAATCTACCTCCGTTCACTCGTCTCTCGAGATATTTTTCGAAGCTGGTAAAGAGAAAAATTATACGTTCCGAACTACTGAAAAGATTATTATACGTGCAATATGTTTTGAAACCGGATTTAAGTACTGTGAAGATGCGAAAGCCTAATCTAATCACTTACACGGTGTTTCCGATGCAAACGAGTAATCGACGTCAGTCCAACGATTCCGAAACGATGAGTTCTGAAACGAAGGAAATCGCGGGAAACGAACGATTCGACGACACAACAACGTTGCGTAAATCTACGATAACTTTAGATGTCAAGTATGAATTGGGCGACATTGATCTTAGTACGGTGGGGATAAGAAGTAGTTCAACTTTAACGGAATTTTTGTCCGAACGGAACAGTATACGCGAATCCAGCATAAGTTTACCTGTTGCCGTTCTAAATTCTACCGCCACTCCGTCTGGCTCCATTACCACGACCGATCACACAAACAGTCTTGCTGCCTGTGAATCGCGTTTTGCAGATAATCTGTCCCTGTCCTTACCGAATACCCGTGATTTCTATCGGAAACGACCCGGTCACGTAAAGAGACAGCAGCTCGCAGGCGTCGCTACAACAGTTGCAACGAATTGTTGGAAAAACACCGCATTCGTCCAAGATCAATCAAGTACCGTTGCTTTTCTCCATCATCCGATTATAAATATGTGCAACAAGAATAATGCCTATCAATGTCAGACATCTGCACGTCGAGAGACTGCTAGTGTGCACTCGTCGGATTCGGGTATGGTCGAAAGTTATCGTTTGAATTCGTCTGAGATTAACTCTTGTAAATCGTATACTTGTATCAGTAATAAGTATGATGCTGGAGCACCTGAACGAAATTCTTTCGACGAAAGTGAAAATGATGAAAACAAGTTTGCACATCAATGCATTTGCACGTCACCATTTGATTCCACTCCTAGGGGCACTGCGCATCTGTCCGATTTATCAAGAAACGCCGACGGTACTTTGATTTCTTCGATTTGCAAAGTTTCTAGTCCACCTTTACACGATGGCAACGAAATACAAGTAGAAGAAACCGCGGATGAAGCGTGTCTAGATAAGTCTGAACATCCAATGCGAAAAAGGTTTACGCAACCGATACCGTATGCGCATCGAACTATCGTAAGAAAAGTTGGAAGACATCCGATTCCACCGAACCGTTCTGTCATCAAAGGCGATTTCAGTGAAACTTCGAGTCAAGTTTATACATCGGGATTGTACGCTCATTGGTGGTTGAAGAAATCTATACCGTATTCTGGATGCACGAATCAAGGCAAGCTTCCATGGCATGGCTGTTTTCTTTTCTCGTTCACAGTTAACATATTCACCAATTTTTCTTACTAATTGTAGATACATACTGTGTATTGTACATAACGAGCGTATGCTTCAGTTTCACCACAGCCATGTTGTGTGAAGCAAGCTTTCCGCTTTACTAACACATTCCATTTCAAAGAAATAGTTTGTCTTGTAAACGGTTAATTGGTTTGTGATTTTTCTATTCGATTCTTGTAAAACATTGACATAACGAGAGGTTTTCAAACTTTTACACTGTCAGTTCAGCGAACCGCAATCAACTATTGTCTTGATACGTTAGGTTTTTACTCATCTAATACTTGGTTTTCCTGCTATATCAGATGTGCAGTCAACAGAATGGCAAACAGCAACAGTCACAGCAACCACAACCGCAACAACAACGATCGATTGTGGAACAGTGTCCACCTTTAGGAATTAGAACACCTTGGTCCATTGCTTCGTTACGTCCAGCTTCTCCTCTCTACAACCTCAGGGTGTTTGGCAAAACTGATCCGAGTTTGGATTTATCGCGTTCACCACGACCGTCTAGTATGAATTCCAAACTCCAAATTGTACTTTAAAAAAGTATTCGTACAGTATTTCCTCTGTGTGACCAGTTTTTGTCGACCTCTTTATAATCGCCTCGCTACCTCTACTGTGTTTGACTTTCCGATAGCGAAAGAAAGAAAGCCGAAAAGAGGGGTAACGATGATTGAATAAGAAGTAAAACAGAAATTCACGAACGAAACAATTGTACAGTCGTGTCCGCTGTTTTGTAGAAGCACCGTACCGCCAGGCTCAAACGGTGTGACTGCAGAGAGAGGAAATACTGCAAGTCAATAATAATAATAATAATAATAATAATAATAATAACAATAATAATAATAATAACAGTAATAATGATAATAATAATGTGCTATCTTGTTTTCAGATGAACGACAATTTGAAGAAGACGCGATTATACTAAAGGTTATCGAGGCATACTGCCTTACCGTGAATGCTAGATTCACCGTACACTCTGGGGAATCAACTTGTAGGTCATCGATCGCATTGATTGTTTTTTTTAAGACGGGTCGATCTTGAATGTACAGTAATGTCGTATCATGTATTGTATCTGCGTTCTAGCAGTGTTGGATTATGGTGCGCACAAAGCACGCGACAGAACATCTTTGATGCATAACAAAGGAGACTGGGATTTTTGTAGCAACAGGTAAACATTTCTATTGGATAGCAGTGACAAGTGCGATGTGTAATTGCCAGTAGCGTACGTTTGTTCAACTTTTAGGACATTATCGGAAACGGTTAAAACGTTGAAAAATCAAATGACAGACTTACAATCACAAATGTCTTTGTTGACGAAACAGTTGGATGAAGAGAGACGATCACGGCTTTGTTTGGCTGCTACGGTAAAACGTAGTATGGGTGTTGTAGATAGCTCGTTGCCCTGACTGGTCAGTTTTCTCCAAACTGAATGAGATTCATTGCAGTAGTGGAAGGATCTCGGACTTGTACACTTTACTGCCATTTAATTTGCATGTTGTAACAGATGTGATCTTTAGATTATGAATTTTATTTCATAGCAGTATACGACAAAGGTACAGCATGGATTAATACGGAAATAAATGATTTAAAAAATTATTTCTACCGTTTTTTTTTTTTTTAGCCATTTTCAAGGTGTAATTTACAGTGCACTCTTTATTTTTAACTTTTTCGCTACTGGTCGTTGTTCTGCAAGTACGCTGATGCTTTACGAACCAGCGAGTCGCTACTTATGACCTTGATGAAAAGAGTCCATACTAAATTACTGTCGAATTTGTTTTGCTGTATCACGTAATTTATCATTTGCGTGAAAAGTTATTAAAAATTTGCCTAATTCCAGTGTAGAAACAACAAAGAAAAAGTAAGTCATAATTAAAAGATTTTTATTGAATTAATAATGAAACTCTGTATAATAGACCCGAAAACATGGATATATGTATACACAGTTCATTCCGACATATGTACATACGTGTATATGCACTAAGTAGTACTTGCGGACCCTTTCGCGGATGACGAATACCGCGAATACTGGCAGCAAAATGGTAGAAGATTACTCTAGGAATACAACGATTAATACGAATTATTTTGATACTCATCGGCTCGATTTGGCCATTAGGTTTAAAATTTGAATGAATGGATGCATGGATGCAGTAATTTGTCGAGAAAAAAATTACTTTTAGATGTTCATCTTGGTTTGTTCTTAATACGTTCTAATTCGTTCACTCTGCTTCGTGCGTGTTCTAACCTATGCCATGCCATTTGCAAAACTTTTTGACTCGCATACCCAGAGCCTTCGTGCGGTTGACCTAAGAAAAAACAACACGAAGTAGGATTCGTTGAACCGATGAAAATCATTTCAAATGATGAGTAACTTATTCTTACCTGTCGAAACTTGGGTTAAATAATTGATTTGTTCGCTTAACTTTGATTCTACGTGGCCCAACGTTTTCAGGAACTGTTGGGTTTGCGCCTCGGCCTGTTTTAAACTAGACTTTTCTTTACTCAGCTCTACAAAAGCTTGCCCTACGCAGCGACAAAACTGATGTATGAAATTTTGTTTTTAACAGTTGACGCGAAGGAAAACAAACGTCGCTCACCTGCGCTCTGCAGACATACGATAATATCCTTTTCAATCGATTCCAAAATTTGTATTCTTTCCATTGGTGGCGTCATTATGTAAAACAGTTTTTCGTATTTTATTCGAGTAAACAAATCGAAAGAAATCGAGTAGTAGTGGAAAATGAACAGAAATCGCGTGAGACATATAAATAACTATATATATATATATAATAAATAGACTACGCGGTGTTATGGTAGTAATGAAGGCGAGTGGAGGGCGATGAGAAAGAATGCTGTACGCGGATGTACGCATGTAAATAAATCCCTCACCAATAGCCCCATTAGAAGGAGGGGAAAGTTACTCCAGTTACTGTTCTCTCTTTCTAATGCCGACTTCATCCCTACCATTTCGTAACTCTGATTAGAGGATTTCTAGCGTGGACAGACCATGTGCGCCCTGCACACCATGCGGCGATTAACGGAACTAATCCGTGGCGACATATAAAATTACTATGTCATACCACAGACGAGGTATAGGAGTAGAGATTTCATCCAATGTATTTTTACGGTCCACTTTTTCCTGGGGTTACGTACCTCATTTTCATTTTAGTGTCCACTAGCCACCGCACATTCACCGTTCTCAAAACGTAGAGGTCGCTAAAATCATACGCTTTTTAAGGTGTCGGTACTACAGTGTTTAGGTCGGCCACCAACTCCCATAAGATGAAAGGTCTATTCTTATACATACCTCGTCAGTGGTCATACCCTCAGAGCAAGCTCGCGGCTTCCACTAGGGGAAAAAGTGACATAGGGAAGGACCTCCTGCTATTTGATATCGAGAATTATTGAAATATATGTCAAATTAACATTCGATTTAACAATTATTTTAGTACTTGCAATCAATTTACCAAGTGGTAGGAGTCCCTACGTGACTTTTCCCCTACCGGAAGCAAATTTAAATATGTATGTAGTAATTCAGTTAATAAAAGTCATGGTGGCGCCATATAATGGCCAAACTGCGGTACTAATGTACGTGGCGGTTGAGTGAATTATCGTAAATGGCGTTACGAGTCTTTTTGATCATAATTTGTGTTTGCATGCGGAAAGCTATATCAATGTAGTGTCAATGAAATTTACAAGACAGAGAAAATATACATACAGTAGTGAATAGACGATGGAACGTGACAACGCAAGTTACCGTAAATATAAAAAGTTTGATATGATCGTTACATTCCGGACATTAAACTTACGATTGTTTTTTTCTCGTTAAAAAGTATTAGTTGCGCATGGTGTTGTTTTAAATAGCAAATGCTGGCCAAAATTCAGAATTTTGGCGGGATCGATGAATTTTCATATCAACCAACGAGAATGGCATCGTCTTGAAGAAATTCATATTGCGGTATTTCCAAATTGGTGGGCGCTGGCCCTTTGCGTATACGTCCAGCCCCGTCGAAGTGGGATCCATGACATGGACAGTAAAATCCACCCGGTATAATGCCAGCGTTAGGAATTGGAATGCAACCAAGGTGTGTGCAAATTCCGATCACGATCAACCATTCGGGTCTTTTAGTTCTGTCGTCGTCACGTTCCGGGTCTCTTAATTCTGCGTGATTCACGAGTCTTTCTTGATCTATGACGACTTGCGGACTGAAATACGTTCAGGTACGTTATGATCTGATATGGGAGGTACGACGGAGTAGGAAATACATAAAAGTTGTATAGGCGAACGTTTTTTGTTATATCTCTTAAGCTGATTTCAATCTGTGCGTCAGCCAAAATGTCACGTGACGCAGACAAAAAGTACACATAGTGCAACATGTGAGACTTTATCCCATAGAGGGTTGCGACGCTGGCAACTGTCAATGAAATAAGCGGTTTGTTTCTAATCGTTGAATTGCACGTTGAACAAGCAAGTATAGGAAGCATATTAGATAATGTACCGAAAGCGGACGAAGAAGTGGTTGTTCTCCGTTCATCGATGCTTCGGGCGGTTGATAAGTCCTCATCTCGAACAGTTTTCCTGCGATACTCTTGAAAATTTACCCTCGGTAAGTCTGTATGAGCGTATCGATTTTTCAAACGAATAAGACATGCGTCCAACCAGTTTCCAAATATTTGTGTCGACAAAAAAGATAGATCGATACAGGATGTTGTAACGCGCGACATTCGAAACATCTCGTTTTGCTCGCCGATTACACTGCTGTTCGTTTTCGTTCTATACGCCGAGAATATGATCGTGGTTATAATTCGACGATTTATAAAACATTCGAACGCTAATAACTGGATAACAAGAGAAAGAAAAAAGACTATACATATATATGTGTACGTTGTTTTTTATATTGTTGTTATCAACAGATGTATTGCCTTTTCACAGACGCAAGAAAACGTATATGTGTATGTGTATATACAATATATACACACAGACCCAGTCCCGTGTAGTAGCGATGAGTCTGCAAACCGTTGAAACAAGTTTGGTTGTGGCGAGGCGTTCAAATTCAAGGTAAAAGGTCGAAACTTTTTCAAACAGTGTGGATCAGGTCTTCAGTTTGAACACTTTGCCACGTCTAAACTAAGTACGTGGGTTTCAACTGTTGAAAGCTCTCGTGAGCTATCATAGAGGTAGAAACATGTTTGTAGGTATGTATTTGTTTTGGTCGCGGACACATCTCGACCCGTGTGTACGAGACATCGGTTCACATATCGTGCGACAGTGGATGGAAAATCGATTTCTTGAACACGCACTTGACCTTCTCGTTGAAACGAATCGACCCGATATGTTTTTAGGAGTCTAGGTTGTTGAACAAGCAAAGGGAAAACATTAAGATCGATAGGCACGAAAGGACTATTACAAAGGAAGGGACAGTTTTAACGTTCCCGTTATGATCTCTAGCAAACTCCCGAACGTATATACCAAAAGTCGCAAGATCGTTGGTCGATTGATTCAGAGCGAGCGTCAAGTGCATTAGGTTTTCGGCAATGTGCTCATTATAGGTCCATTGTTCGAACGGAAGCAGCGAGGAGTTCAATACGGTTGGCATAGCCAGGATCACTGGACTATCGGCGAGTTTCGCGGTGATTGTCAGACGAAGAAACGTAACGTTCGATGGTTGAACAACACCGCAAGAAATGGTCGAGTGGTTGGAACATTGTGTTAACGCGCATACTCGAATAGCGGCTTTCACTTCGGTGCCGTATAGACGAATTCCGTTGTAAACAACAGCGCGATAGTTGCTGGATGATTCGAGGTGGGTCGTACGAACGTCGAAGTCGCAACAAAAGGTGCCGATACAAATAGTTTCATTCATCGATGTTCCGTTTAGAGGAACGGATTCGAAGGGTTCGAGATTATCGCGCAGAATACGTATTCCGTCGATAGTGTCTGCGCGGTGTTTAGTTGCGTAGAAAATATCGGTCGAGGCATATTGCTTCGCATTCTCTGTCTTGTTTTCCCTTGAAGTTCTTGTCTTGGGTACCCGAGAGACCAACAGTCGGTGTCCAGTCTGGTTGGAAAACGTCGCTTCGGCTATTCCATCGCGACCTGGAAAATCAAAGGTGAGGCGACCCCATAAAATGTTGAAATGAGAATGAAAAATTTACGTAAACAAGCAGCAGCTGTACTAGATCGATTATTTCGATCCCGTTCGTATGCGTACGTGTACGTGTACGTGTACGTGCACGTGTATATACATATATGGTACATACGTATATATACGTACCCAAATAAATGCCACTTCCCGTGTTTCCTTGCATCGCGTTGTGATATCCAGCTGCCAGCAGATTCACGTCCTCTGCATAAGACCATCCGAATTGCGTTTGAACAGCTAAAATAAGGATCGTACTTGTTCATCTTGTATCATCTTTCGATACGATAGAATATATATATAGAATATCAAGTATATGTAGGCGTGTATGTGCATAAAGCAGTTCTGCTCCAAGAAAGAGCCCGTTGGCTCTCTTGTAGCTCCCCACAGAGGACTTTGTCTTTGAGCGACTTACCTGTGAGGAATGGTGCTTCGGAGAACCAGGCTGTAGTATACACGATATTTGTTATTCCATTCGTCCTCGTCAAGTTTAGAGCCGGAACGTAAAATAGTATATCGAAGCACGTGAATGTACCAAATGTGACGTTGAAATCGGTGTTGAAGGTAACCACTTCCGGCGGTTCGACCGTATCGAATTGTTTTTCCATATAGAGATTTACTTTGCGATATCTGTGTGCAGCCAATAAGAAAGGACACGGGGTATACATATTGCGAACAGAATCACTTAAAGGAAATGTTTAGTAGATAAGTAGGAATGGTGAAAATTTGAACACACCGTTTCTTTACCTCGCTATTATTCTTCCTGTTCGGTCAAACACCACGTTTGTATTGTGATAACGCGTTCCATTGACTGAGAAGCATTGTTGGTCACGATTCGTCTGACCGAGATCACACGATTCCATTTCGGCGATGTTTACTACCAGGTAAATGCTATTGTTTCGAGCCGCGCACGATAACTGCTTCAACGTCTGTGCGAAAATCGAGAACGTGGTACGAATGAATTTGTTTTGCAAGAAACCTTGGGAAATTGAAGGAGAATCGGGAATGGGATATTCCCTAACAACGGCAACATCTTGTGGCAAAATCCAGCGAAATCGGGAGTGGTTGAGAGCTCCAGAGGACAGCAAAGGACCCAGCAGTGTTCTTCGTGCAGCCATCTCCAACCCTCATGAATGGGCTGGCATTTAGAAGTTATGATGTTGGAGTTACAGGTTACAGGAAAGGAAGGTCACGTTATAACCTGGATCACTTCGTCCATGTTTGGTCTTCATATGTGGTGGCATATATGTATAATGATATATGGTGAAGCGATCCTGGTAGAGAATGATCTTGACGGACTTAATCCTACAAACATTCGTAAGACTTAAGAAACGGACAGTCCTAGATACATGCAAAATATAAGTTTTGAGAACATCCGTAGAACTTCCGAGACGGACAATTCCTAGAATATCCGAAATTTAAGTCTTGGGAACATCCGTAGGACTTTCGGGACGGACGTAGGATAGAAACCGTAGGAAATACACGACATGGCCAGCGTACTCGCGTGGTTACTCCATTTATAAAAGTTATAATACCGTACGATACCTAACTTACTTCGCTGACGCCCGGTCGATGATATTCGCACGGAACGTATTTTTCGTCGGCGGAAGGTACAACCGTTGCCCAAGACATCATTTCCGATTTTTCTGGCATTCTTACCGATGTCAGGCCATCCTCTGGGAATACTATAATGTCGCTGTCCTGAAAAATGTTAAACGCACGATGCGTCAAAACTGTCGTAAGTCGTAAGTCAATCCCGACCGAAGGAAATTTCAATCGAGTTGTCTCACCTGTTTTTTTGCTTTTTCAATGTATTCGATGTACATTTCCCTATTCTTTTGTAGGGTTAACGGGCCACATTGCTCAACTTTAGGCGAGAATTCCACCACTGCCGCGATGTAGTAATTCCTTGGCTCATGCTCTGTCGCTGTCGCCTGTTAATCCGTCATTGTTAAGTGTTAAATAATCGAATATCGAACGAATCATTCTTCCGATATCAAGTAAACGATTCAACGCATTACCTGTTGCGAAAGATGCACCAGCGTTAAGAAAAATCCGAACAGTCTAAAAATTCGACGACCCATTGTCGGTCGTTGATTACCTATTATCGTTGGCTTTGCTTGAACGTTATAGAGATACACACGTTACACTAATGCTCTGCATTAATTGTAAAAAATAATGATGTACTTCAACAAAAAGGTAAATTAAGTTGGATTTTTCAACCAATTTTCAAATGATTATTGCACAATTAACACCCCGCCACCTGGTACCACAAAAAAGAAAAATTATGTATTTGTAAACTGATGGTGCTGCGTAACATCAGTGTGTATGTACGTACAGCAAAACTTGGAATAAATCGAAATTAACACAAAAGATGAATTCGAACAGGAGGTAAATGAACTGAAAATAGAAATGAAAGAATTTCCGCAGTTACGGAACCATCGATTGAAATCTATATTAAAGAAATTATCGACCTACGAAATAGAATTAAATAAGCGCAATCTAATCATCTACGGAGTAATAGAACCAACAAATCCAGATAAACACAGAGTCGACTGTAATTGTGGTACTTATGTATGGTAGGTACCAACACTGATTCCAAACAAAACACTGAATATCAGCAATGTCTGCATACAACCCCCTGATATGTATTTAAAACATGTTTACGCTAGGAAAAGCAGGTCACAGTAAACCGACAAAATGTGCTTATCAAACATGAAACTAAACAGTGAAATGTTAAAAAAAAAGATGATTAGGCGCTTAGACCGATTAATATTTTTCTTGGTAAGGTGGAAGGTTGACCAGCCATACACCACACGTGGTATACTTTGCACAGGACTTGAGGACTTGTTCTGCCGAATGCTCCGGTTGCTATTCTCAAAGCCGCATTGTGAAATCGTATCGAGAGTTTTCAGAGTACATATTAATATTTGTCGATGCATAAATTATGGATCCATAGTCGATTTTAGATCTAATTATAGCTTGTTGTGTACGTATTGATCAGAACGGTTTGGTCTGCACCCCAGTTACTATTAAATTTGTTGAAAGGCCCTTCAGAATGTGAGGTCGATGATAACATTCTTTTTTTATATTAATTCTGTAGTGTTTCCAGGATAATAACTTAGACTTAATAACTTTTTATTCTTTTAATTTAGTGTCGCTTAAATATAGTTTTATGGAAATGTCAGCACGTGACCTATTCAAGGTTATAACGACTGTTTCATTTCTCGAAAATTCAAAAAACTAGAGATTTTTATCCAGTTCTGTAATTTATTGAAGGAATCTTGTATTATATCACAGTTGTATAGTTCGGGTAGTCTCAAGGTTCTTGCCTTCATACTCATATCGTACAATACCTTTTCGTTGATAGAATACGATGGCACGTGTCTTAAATAAAATCATCAAGAGGAGATCTGATGATACACCGATATGTATTGTATCGGTGTAAACCGATTAAATGAAAAGATTCCGAATGCGAAATACCTGACTGACGTCGTTTGTCACCGTGACGAATTATGAAATTCACGTTACTGCAAAGGTTTGCCTCGAACTTTTTATCACTTTAACACTGTTTGGAATGGAATTGTCCACGCCAAGTTTACTACTTTTCTCACTTTTTCATTTGATTTCGTAGCTGCGAATGCGCGGCCAATTAAATACACCGTGTTATCGCTGTGACTCGTGATACCGTCAGATTGCTTTTTAATACTTTTTATCAGTACCGTAGTGGGACAATAGGAGTATAAGTATAAAACAATACCACTTAGGGATCGTAGATTTGATATCAGTACTGTTCACGACACACTACGAATTAGAGATAGCGTGCAAAATCACTAACGGTGATTTATCGCAGTGATCGCCGCATCACGATCACGATCACGATTGATCACGTTGTGATTTAACTTTATTCACGACCGTGATTGCGATTTTTCATCTTGAGTGAATTTGCTCACTGCGATCGTAAGTCCTTGATCTTTAAACAGAAAATCGTATTCAATATGATTTTACAATGAATTACATGAAGTGCTCCCTCCATGTTTCTATTGTAATCTTGTTTCTATTCTCCGTTTTTCTTTTTCTCTCTCTGTAGATCGTCCAAATGTTCCATACTTCTTCTCCTATTTTAATCTTAGTTCCTACTAGCCCTTTTGCTTCATTACTTTCTCCTATTAACTCCCAGCCCTCTCTAACCCCAATTATAATCCTACCACTTGCTCTTCCTTTCCTCTTCTCTCTTTTTGCTGGCTGGTAGTTCCACGTAAACCCTTTTGGTAATTTTTTTCTTCAATCCCTCCCATCTCTTTTGCTCCACCCATGTTTCTGTCAGTCCTACAAAATCAAATTTCTCTATATATTCCCAAAATCCTCTGTCTTTTCTCTTAACTCCTGCTACATTCCTGAACAACAGTCTACCTTTTTTGTACTTCTCCAAATTATTTCTCTTGTCGTTCCCTTTTTCACTCCTTATGTTGCATCCATTCTCTGCTCCTCCTCTTCCCTTTTCCCTTATCTTATTTTTCTTATTTTGTGAGGCTACTTCTGAAAATTCTCTCTCTCTTCTACCTTATCCTCCTCCTCCTCGTTTCACTCATACCATTTTCCTTTAATCCTTATTTTTCTGTAACCCACTCTTACTTCATTTCCTTCTGTTCTTTCTTTCCTGGCTCTTTCTCTTAGGATTCTCTGCACCGTCCTCTCTTCTACTGTCAAATCATGGTCTATATATATTTTCTTATTTCCTAATTTTCCTTTCTTTCCCATTATTTCTTGTTTTGCTTCCCAGCTATCCGTTTCCACAATAACCATACTGGCTTCCAATCTTCAAATCTTTCTTTTTAACTATCTGTTCTTCTTCTTCTTCTTCTTGGTCACTTACTTCTCCTCCTCCTCTGGTATCCATTTGCCATATCTCTGTCATCTTTCTGTTTCTTGAGCTCTTCTCCAATGAAGGCCTTCCTCTTTTCTTCTTTTCACTGTTTGGTGTGCATTCGATTTTCCCTCCTAACACTTCCTCCTGTTCAGAATCCACCCTTTCCTTCCTTGCTTCTTTATCCATTATGCTTATTCCTATCGGTTTTTCTTAGTATAAATCTCAAATACCTGTCTACCCTAACTTTACTTCTCTATTTTACTTCGTCTTACCTATATTGCCTCTCTATTTTCTAACTTATTCTTACAATGCTATTTTACCTTACTTACTACTGCTCTTCAATCATTCTTACATCCAGAATTCTTTCTCTACACCTAAATACTTTTTAACTAAATATCACACCATTCGTTCCGTAACATACATCCTCAGCGCCCTCTAACAAAGTCCTCACATTACGTACAATCATTAATTTATTCATTATTTTTCAGTGTGTCTAAGTATTCCTTCACTTTATACGATATAATACGAATTTTTCTTTCGATGTCGTTAATATAAAATATACAGGTTATGCGTCGCGCATAAAGAACTGTTAATTTTCTCCACCAATCAGAAACGATTACGAAAAATCACGAATCATTGTGAAAACTCACCGTTATTGGGAACGAACGTGATCGAATCACTCGTGATTCACAAGTAGCAGTTCACGCCATCTCTAATATACATATATACATATATAATAACCTATTCATTTTTAATAGATCCTTAAAAAATGAATAGTTTTACTTTAAAATGAATATTTTATTCCACATATAAGTACAAAACTAACATATGTATAATATTTGTAATAATGAAAATTATGGTTGCTAAATAGCGACTATCAATTACCTATAAGAATTTAATCCACTAAATATGGCTAAATGTCATATGCTATTTTAGGCTGTCCATAAGGATAGTTCCTTCTGGTATACGAGTACTGTTACAAAGATTACTTATGCAATTAATTTGATTAAATTCTGTCGACCTAAAATGATCATAAGCATGGGAAAACTTTTGATTGTTTATTCTTACTAGTCCAAGTTTTACATATAATAAACAATCTGCGGCTGCTTTGGACTGGAACACTTTCTGCACCCCCGCCAGGAACGGCCCTAAATATATGTCATGTATAACGTTTCCTTAAACTTCTTACTTATAATCACCTGCTAAAATACCCTGCATAACTATTGCTTATATACTTGAGTAGTGTAAAACATTCAATGTGATGACTGTGTGGTGAGTGAAGTGTGTGATAAGTAGGCTGGTGAGCGGCGGAAAAAAGGGAAGAGGGAGAAGAAGTACCAAAGGAGGAAAATAACTTTGAACGACCGCGACTTAACTCGAGATATGTACTTACCTAGAACAGTATCGAGAAGAGAAGCTTGACAAACACTTGACTTTTAGAATATACATACAGGGGAAAAAACGGGAAGGGAAGGGGTAGGAAAGTGAAGGAAAGGAAAAGGATTCGCATGGTGTGTCATGTATGTGTAGTCGGAAAGGCTTGTCAGGGGGGTGGGAGGGCTCGGTAGCAAGGGTGCGAGCTCGGGCATCGTCGGGCATCAGGCATGGATAGAAAACTAGCAAGGTTAGGTTGCGACGTGACGCGACAGTGGGGGGAGTTCAGAGCCGCGGAGCAGCAGTGCGTCGCGACGCTGTCGGCCACGCGGTTCTTGTTTCTCTTCTATCTGGATTCTTTTTTCATTTTCAGCCTCTTTTTTCACAATAACAACGCATTTATATCGCTCTCGTCTCATGATCGTTTTTTACTCTCGTCTTACATTTTATCCACTTGGTTTATCGTTGCGCTCCCTGTCTACTACATGTCTATCACCTTTGTCTCTTTGCTTTGTCTATTCTTCAGATGTTGCCCCCCCCCTCTCTCTCTCTCTCTCTCTCTTGCCACCCCTCGGCCATCCTTTACATTACATTCTGTCTTTTTCCGCTAGCTTACCACCTTTTGTATTCTCACCGCCTCCGCCTTTGCGGGATCACAACACCGTCCATTGTTCCTTGTTGCTTTTCTCTGCTCTTTAACTATTGTTTGGGTTCTTTTTCACCGTACCTTTCCTTTGTCTACGATTACTCGTTCTCGATATATTCTCGAGATTTTTTTTGCCGATATTTATTTTGCTTCTCGTATGTTACTTTTCCCGAATTTCTTTAATTCAAGTCGCTCGAGTTATTTTGAATTGTTTCGGTGCTTTTTGCGTTCTCGTTGACAGGTCAAGTTCTTAGTCACGTGCAAAGCATCTTTCTTTTGTCAAAAATACGAACGAAACTAACAAAGAAGGAAATAAGGAAAGAAGGGAAGAAAGAGAAAAAGAAAGGAAGGAAGGAAGGAAGGAAGGAAGGAAGGAAGAAAAGACGGAAATTGTCAAACGTCGAAGGAATCTTAGAAATACGGTGTTTGTGAATAAACGAGAAACCGTACCCGCCGCGTAAATGTCATTTGCCGCGAAAATTGCTCGTTGTGTACCGTGAATTTAATACGAGTCAAAGAGGATATTCTCCTCTCCTTCGGTGAGTACGATTCAACAAGATTCCATTCTCTCTTGTTGCTGTTGCTTTCGTTTCTCTCTCGAGCACAATTTGTTCGTCCTGCTGTTAACTCGTACGAGATGAAAATTTTCCTGTTGCTTAACGTATACGATTCCCGCATCCTCGGAGTATCGAGACTACGCACGAAGAATGGCGTGTATTTAACAGAAAAATGATTACGGCTGCGACATGCTGCTACTTTTTAAGCGAACAAGAACGAAACTGTAGTGGCGATCCATTTGAACGGTTCTCAAGTGTAGGCAAATACATACACACATACGCGTTTATATGTACCTATTTCTTGGACGCGCATCTCTTCGAGATGCGATTACTACCTCGAATCCAGAAATAGAGATCAATATCGTTTCTCGGATCGTATCGACTATATGTATGTACACTGACGAGCAAACTTGGCTTCCTTTATGGGAAAAAGCAATATAGGGGTAAGGGCCTCCTATCGTTTGATAAATATATTTGAAATATTGAAATAAATGTTAAATCGAACGTTAATTTGGCATAAATTTCAGTAACGCCGATACCAAGTGGTAGGAGGTCTTTTCCTTACATCACTTTTTGCCCCGAGAGGAAGCTGAGTTTGCACGTCAGTGTACATGTTCTGGTGAAAAATCAAAATGGTTAAGCCAGGAAGGAGTAGCGGCATTGATCGACGACGGTATGGTACTGCTTATGGTACGGGTTAGGTAAAGTTCGGAAGCAAGCTATATCTTACGCCAATTGCGCGACACCGAGAAACACATTTAGATTATTGCCCGAGTGATTGATTCGATTGCGTCTAGTTTTTAGTTTAAGGTCTAAATTGTTCGACTCTGTTCTGAAACAATGACTCGCGGAACATCCTTGAAAAGACAGGATTTTCGTTGGCGTCCAGTCGTGGATTAGAACGCTATACATGTACACGATATGTATGTAGGTATGCGTGTGTAATTTATTTTCCTATGTAAAAAGCTAAGCCCTGTTACACGGAGGAAAGCAGCTAATCGACGACTGTAGGTGATTGAAACGAGTACGCAGAATCCCGAGAACTCTTCTGTACTCTTCAGGATATACTTTTATCCAAAACCAAATACATATTTATATTTAATAATCGTGCAAGGGTGAGGAATTACCCAGTGAATACACATATTTATATGGATGTAATAATTAGTTGCATAGTACCTACACAACTATTAAACCGTGTAATTTTTTGAAAAATTCGATTTAGCGATCCTCGAAGAATGAACACATTAGCGACCGGCTTCATTTAATGTATTGTATCTTGAGCGTTCGAGGCATCAAATCAGGTTGTATAACCGAAACAGTATTAACCGTCGACAGGCACACGTTTTTGATGTTGCAATAGACGGCGGTATCTGGGTAAAGATAAATTTCTACTCATCTATCTTTAGATCTATGTTTTGAAATGAATCTCTTCAAAATATGTTGCTTTTCTTATAAGGTGCTAATATGTATAAACAACTGTGCGTTTCATCAGTTTTTCGAAATTAAAATCGTGTGTAAAGTTTCTGGATACGTGGGTCTAAATGAACCCAGACCCCGTCATCCGAGGCCCGAGGAATACTCATTCGATTCAAAATGTTTTATCGATCGCCAGAAAACTGTGCTCGGTTGAAGCATCTCGCGTTGAGCGATGGTCAAGGCCGCTATTCGTTATTCGTTATTCCTTACAAAGTCAAGGATACACGGAACGACTCTTACAACTTTGCCTTCCCCTCCGTTTTGAACGACGACGTAATTTCAAATTTATGGCCGAATAGGTTAGAAATGGTGCAAAATAACGGATAGAGTGAAAATCGAATGTCGGTTGATCGAACGATGTAAGAATGGTACCTACACGTCACGATCAACAATGCACATAATATGTGCATACAGTTCGAATTCAACAGTTGACGAAACTTAGTCCTATAATTACATTTCTATTTTTCCGTGGATGTTTGCACCAGCTTGCATATTAATCTCTATTCTCTCAGAGATGTCAATAGAAGACTATGTATGTAATTTCCCTCCACTATGTAATTAAAAATTTATTTCCTGCCACTATCCGTTACTCATAGATCCGCTCGTCCTATCTCATTCTCTTCTCAATGTATTCGGATAAACCGGGTAAAACACAGCGTCATACGTCGTTATACGGTGTGTTTGTGACGTGACAGGTGCGTTTGGTCAAAAGTTTGTCAAACAAAGCAGTTATTAACGAGGAAAAAAAAGTTGTCGAAGACATATAAAAAAGAACATTCTTTGAAAGCAGTATGTTTGAATCGAACGAATTCTAGAGAAATGTGAGAATTTTCAAAGTATGTACCTACTTGGCATAGATGTAAAAACTTGCGTCGAGTAGCCACGCTCATGCTGCGCCGCGAGTGGCCTGTGGCCTGTATCGAGTATCGATGATGCGGCGCAACGCGCCGCGACACGACTCGATCCGACCCGATCCCCTTCCTCCGACAGGATCCGATACATCCAACATGACGCGACGTGACCTACGACCTACGACCCGTCGCGTCGCTATTCCTAAGTACGTAGCAGATGGAAACGATAATCAAGTTAGGGAAACAATCTACCATGTTATCGTCTCTCTATCGCAGGAATAAATGCAATCAAGAATCGCGAAAACTGGACTACGATAGATGTTTTGGTTGTCCTACGTGGAATGATATATCATATACCTACATACATATACCTACGCTATTTTCATTAGTGAACGCTAATTGTAAGACGTTCCGTTTCGACGATTGATCGAGTAGGTATATGAATTGGTGCAAGTTGTAATTG